GTTTTGTTTTCACCATAGTTGCAAGTCCACCCCCAACTTGCAACTCGAGGGATGTAGTTTGCAATCGCCCCAGTTGCAAGTCCACCGCCATCTCGCAACTCGGGGAGGGCGTCGTTTGTTGTTTGTTTTCACCCCAATTGCAAGTCTACACCCGACTTGCAACTCGAGGGATGTAGTTTGTACTCGCCCCAGTTGCAAGTCAATCGTGTACTCGCAACTTGGGAGGGTGTAGTTTTGTAGCCCTAGTTGCAAGTCCACCCTCGGCTCGCAACTCGGGGGGTGTTGTTTTTTGTTCTTGTTTCATAGTAGTTGCAATTAGACCTTCGACCTGCAACTAAGGGTTTCTGTTAGCCCAGTTGCAAGTCCACCCTCGACACGCAACTCAGGAGGGTGTTGTTTTGTTTTCACCCCAGTTGGAAGTCCACCGCCGACTTGCAACTGGACATGTATTTTGTTTTTCATCCCAGTTGCAAATCCACGCTCGACACGCAACTGGGCTTGTAGTTTATTATTCTCCCAATTGCAAGCCCATCCTCGAATCGCAAATGATATTTTAGTTTTGTGTAGTTGTCCGAGTTGCAAGTCCGCCCTCAACTTGCAACTAGGCTTGTAGTTTGTTTCGTCCCAATTGCACTTCCATCCTCTATTGGTTTTCTGGTTATTCTTTTGGTTTTTTCTATTTCTTTTTTTTCTTCTTTTGCTTCGCATTTTGTTTTATTTTTTTTAACATTTTCAAATATATGAAGAATTTTCAGTTCATGAAAATTTTGGAGCTTTGTGATTTATTTATTTTGAATCGGTGAACATTTTCTGAATCCATGAACAATTGTTAACACTTTTGGATGCACGATCAATTGTTCAGTATGTGTTTAAAAAATTATTTAGTGTATATTATAAAAATGTTTTACCGTATATTTAAAAGGGTTCTATGTATATTAAAGAAGGTTAAGTTTGTATTTAAAAAATATTTAGTGTCTACTAAAAAAGTTTAGTGAATATAATTTAAAAGCTCATTGTATATAAAAAAGTTCACTGTATATTACAAAATGTATATTACCACAAATTCGTGAACATAATTCTGATTTTTTAATCAAACTTTGTCTTTTACTGAAAATTAATGCATAAAATATAAAGAGTGGAACGGGGAAGCAAAAACCAAAGGGCAAAAAAAGAATCATTTATAGCCTATTAGAAGCTAGCGATCAGAGACACGCCGCTAAAAAGTGGGCAATAAAACGCAAAAACTAACAAATCGATGGTAGAACTACTTTATTTTCACTGATTTACATCTGATCACTAGCTTTTCCTGGAAAAAAAAATCTGATCCTTAGCTTCGAGTAGCGATACAACACAACTTATCAAGGTGCTTGCTGCTTCTCCCTACGTCGCCATCCGATATAATATGATCTATTGATCTACCATGCACGCACAGGGAGAGACACATGTAGCAAGAAGGAATCTTCGGCTGGCTGATGCACAACGTAAAAAGCTAGCCTCACTACGAGCTGTCGGACGTATAGGCCGGCCCACCGAGGCGGACGTGAGCGCGAAACTGGTTCGTTTGTTTCAGGCTTTATGACAAATCAAAATCGAACAAATAAGATAAACAATAAAAAGGTGGCGATGACATCACACTTAGATGTGAGATATTATCTCACATCTAGATGTAATATAGACGGATCCGTTAGAGCATCTATAACTTGACTTGACAAATTCGACCTCTCAAACGCCCGCGTGCGCGTCCGCGGACAGTGAACGATCACCCTTCAGAAACGCATTCCATATTCGGATACCTCAAATCCATATTATTACATGCAACGTGAAACCTAATCTACACGAAGCTCGTCCGGTTCCGCTCCCCGCTCGCCCGGCTCCGCCCTGGCCATGTCCGGCGGCCGGCAGCGCTCCTCAGGGTGTTGATCCGGTCGCCGACAAGGTAGGGTAGGGCATGGGACACGAGCTGGCTCGGACTCAAGGCCCCGCCGTCTCCCATGCCCTATTCTTTCTTGTCGGAGACCGAAACCCGAATGGTGCCGGTGGATGTCAGATTGATGATGGATCCGTCCGAGGACGAGCCACCGAAGTCCACCACGACGCGGTTGCGGCGTCCGAACTGATCCGCCATACGGGGAGCCGGAGAATGCGACTCCGCCTCGCCGACGTCCGCAGCCGCGAGGGCTGCCGCCGCCTCCCGCTTCCGGTGCCTTGCACGGCGTGCATGCCGTGCCATGGCCTCGTGGGACGATGGTGCGTCCCCAATATCGGCGCGACACCGAAGGGGTTGCGCGTCCGTCAGCGCGTTCGGACGCCAGACGGACCGCACGACCTCCGGCGAGGCAGCTATGGCCGGCCTAGCGCCGGATCCATGCCCCATTTGGGCGGACACAATGGATTCCCGACGGACGGAGTCCGAGCGCAGCCATCCACGGGCCTCCTCCCGGGCGCGACAGAGCGCAAGCCGGACGACCATCTCCTCCTCGGGTTCGCGCGGGATGAGCTCGGGGTCGACTGATCTGGAGGTGAAGGACTCGGATCCGCTGCCCGCCATGACGGAGACGACCGGAAGGAGCTGGAAACGAGCTTGGGTGGCGGAGGGGAGTGGAGGAAAGGAGAGTGAAGTGTCTAGGGTTTGGTCTGACGAGCGGATGGAGAGGATTTTATGTGGGGTCGGGTGGGCCGGGTCCGATGTGGCGGGCGCGCCCGGGCGCCCCATAGCCGTCCCATATTTGGGTTGGATATGGGGGTTGCCGGTCAGCCCGGGCATTTGAGGCGTCCGTCTGGATGGAAAAACGTGACCGGTCAGTGACCGGGTGGCCCGCCCGGGCGTATGAGGCGGGTTTAAGAGGTCCGGCTGTAGATGCTCTTATATTCCTTAGTTGGTATACCCAAGTTTTTATGTTGGTAATAAGTAAATTCAAAGTTGTGAGTTTCTTAGCTTCAAATGCTCCCATTTTACAGTTTTAAGGGTTGAATTTATTTTATGGCCGGAAGGAGCATGGAAAGAAAACAGATGAGCGTTAGAAGGGCTGTGTGGCTATGGTAGGAGGAAGAGGCAGTGCTGAGGCCTCGCCGTGGCCACAACGGTGGCGAGGAGGACGATGTGCAAGGAGGTGGCTGCGTGGAACCCTAACGCCGCGAGTTACCCATGCGGTGATGACACGGGTCATGCGGAGTTTCTAGTTTCTCATAACTTTAACAACTTCAGTTTTATATAAGGGTTCATTTGTTTTTCCGTTGGAAGGATCGTGAGAAGAAAATAGGTAGAGAAGTTTACCACAAGCGTGACTCACATAAAGTTAATAACACAATTTGTTGCTGATTAGTAAAGTCTAAGTTTGAAATCGTAAAGAGAAAATCATAAAATTCTAAGATCCGTACAGTAACAAAACAACATGTCCCGTGGCAAAGGAGTTAAGATCCTAGCTCTTTTTTTTTTCAAAGAACTAGGATCCTAGCACGAATACCCGAAAAATCTTTTGAGTTGAACAAATCTCCTAATCTTGTGGAGCTAAACTAATACGGAGTATATATTCTAACTAATCTCATACTCGCACATGTTGCTCGAGCCCCGCTTGCAGTAGACCCCGAACAGCTCCACCTCGCCGGTCTCCACCTCGCCGGTCTTGAGATCGAGCTTGTACAGCATGCGAAGGTAGAAGTGGAGGAGCAGACTGCCGCTCGCCTCCGAGAAGCACTCCAGCGCCAGCTTGTCTCCCTCCTCCCGCCATGGCGCCGGGCATCCGCGATCCACCATGATCTTCCACATGTCGAAGAACTTGTGCCGCGTCCACCTAGCTGGCTTCACCTGGTCGTCCTCCAGTGTCCACAGAGATATTGTGATATTTTTCACCACGGCCAGGGTCAGCCGCCGCTTCCCGTTCACCATCGTCGACGTTAGGAGGAGGTCGTCGGCGTCGAACCCGCGCGCCTTGTCATGTTCTGGTCTCTGTAGAACTTTGTCCGCGAGCTTGATCGGCGCCGGCTGCCGCTGTCCGTCGAGGGGGAGCGCGAGGACGTGGTAGCCGAGGCACTCCGACTCGGACTTGCAGAGCCAGTACGCGACGCCGTCGAGGACGAGCGCCGATGGACGAAGGAACCTGCTCGGAGCGCCCAAGGGCAGGTGCGCGTAGGTTGCCACGACGGCGCCCCACGCACTCTTGGACGGCTCCACGGACGAGGACGTGAAGGTCTGAAGCTGAAGCATCCCGGCGTCCGCCAGCTCGAGGTTCACGACGTGCAAGCGGAAGTCGCCGCCGCCGTCGGGGAGGAGCACGAAAGATTCGTCCCAGGTGGACGGGCGTGGCAGGGATACGTGCTGCCCGGTGACGGGGTTGCACACGACAAGATCGGAAGGCTGCGGCGGGGAGAGGCCGGGCGGCGACGGGCGGCGGAGGGCGACGAGGCCGCCGCGCGATTCCACGGGCTCGTAGCCCTTAAGCTGACTTTCACGGCCTTCGAGGAACTTGTGCGCGGCTTCGACAGCAGGGCGGGCGCCAGCGTCGACCCTCCGTGCCTTGAGGAGCTCCGCGCCGCCGCTGGAGAAGCCATAGAGGACGCCGAGGAGGTGCTCGGGGGAGGCCGCCACCATCGTTGCCGCTTCGCCGGCGATGTTCTTGTTCACACGAACTAGCACACGTACGTACAGCAAGCCTCTTTCCCTGGATCGAAGCTCAGGTGGATCTCAACGTGTGAACTAACCGCCGGCCGGCGCAGCTTATATATACATGGATCACCCGGGAGGAGGGTAACCCGAATCGGCTCACGATCACCTTTCTTTTCTGCCCAATCGATCGCGAGTCCGTTTTTCTTTTTTTTGAGAAACCCTTCGCGAGTCGGGTAGGTACTCGAAGTTTCAGCGGGACCAGCAAAGATATGGGCCTAAACTCCAATGCCCAGTGTGTTGAGCGGCCCAAGCGCAAGCTGGAAAAAGTTAGGTAACGTATATGTGTATACTAACGTGTGAAAAAGTTACTCAAAAAAAACAAACTAACGTGTGAAAAAATGATTACGTAAAAATGCACAGGTAGGAACATAGACCAGGTTTATAAAAGATGTAGTTATACCTTATTAAAAGATAACTATATTAAAGATAATAAATTAATGGGGAAAATTAAGAAAACAATTCTTACACCTCAGTAAAAATGTTTATGCATATAGAAGAAAATTTAGTCTCATGTTTTAAAAATGTACATGTAAAAAATTATTCTTGTGTAAACAAAAGTTCACGTTCTTTAAAAAAATTTCATGTATTATTTTTTTAAATGCTCATGTTTTGAAAAAAAATTATATGATTTTTTTTCAAACATCCATGCATGACAAGATTTAGGTTTATGTACTTTTGAGAAAAAACACACGTAGTTTTCCCATAAAACAAAAAAATGTGAAAATGAGAAAATTAAAAAATAGTTTAAAACCGGCTGAAAAATCAAGTGAAAAGGAAACAAAAGGTAAAGAAAAAGCTGTTGAAAAACCAAAGCAGCAAGAAAACCTGTCGGGATGGGCCAGCCCACATAGCATTGCGGGGTGTGCATTATAGGGTTGGTTTGACACTATGAGGCCTTGTTTGGTTTCCTCGAATCCCCCCGGGATCCCCGTCTAATCCCTGGGGAGGGAACGCACAGGCCAAATCGGACACGGGCAGGCCGCCGACGCATTTGGCTGTGACCCTCGACAGGGTGTGTCAGCCCTATCCCCATCATTTCCCTGGGCGCCAAATCCACACCTCCCGACGCCGGGCTGGAAACCCACGACTCTCTCGCGACCGAGCATCTCTCTGGCGACCTCCTCCACTTACCTCGTGATGTATTATGCCTCCCTCCGGCGCGACCACACCCCTCTGCTTCCTGCGACCTCACTCATGAGCAGCCTCATCACGATAGATGCCTAGAATTTGCTTCCTAATTTCAGATTGTTTTGGTGGCAGGTGTTCGTCCCCTTGTTGCCAAATGGGACAGAAAGTTCTCCCGTGGTGGGCAGGGGGATCCCATGTGTTCGTGAAATTGCCCCCTAGGGGTTTCTCGCCCTGGATTTTTCTTACATTACTACCAAACAAAGCCTGAGTGGTAAATAAAAAAAATCCCTAATTGACCTATTCTCGGTTGTTAATCGTTTTGCTAATGCCATCACCCTCCTTAATTACCCACGCTAGGGCTTTGTTGAACGTTGTCGTCGAGCGTCAGTGATCTGCGAAGCTGCAAGGGTGCAATTGTCACGCCTCTAACAACTACTCCGCGCCACCCACAATCCCTAACCTGGTCCAGTGATCAGTAAGGAATATTATAGTGGTCAGTTTGATTATAATACAAACAAAGAGTAGTTACTACTTCCTCTGTTTTTTCATTATCCAAAAGGCTACCCCCTCTAAGTTTTCAAGAGGGATGATCCACTCCGCAAATATTGACTGAAGCTTGACTTACAAATATGTTAATCATCGACTAAAATTACACATTTGAAAATGTATTTCATTCTCTAAAAAAATGTCTTTCAAATATGATTCAATGGTATATTTTTTGTAATACTTAACCAACGTCCCATCGTTTCAAGTTCAAACTTTAATCTCGAAAAAGTGAGAACTTTATAAACCAAAATGGAGGAAGTATATTTGTTTTGTCCTGTCAAACACAATTACACATTTGTTTCTACAAACTAGTAAGCGTGCACGTGCAAATGCACGTCTCGACTAATATCCAAGTATATATGAGAATAACATGCATATAAAGATAGTTTGGTTGCACCGGAAAATATTACAAATCAAGAAAAGACAAACAAGTCCGCCTTTGCATATGTAGCCTTTTTTATTTAGAGATAGAAGACAAACACGTCAATTTTTGTGGCCATTCCCTTGTCCAGACCCCAACGTGAATTGCACATGCATTATTAAGTAGCATGCAAATCCATATAGATAGGGTTTGACAACAATGGGTCGGTGGATACCGACCGAGAGTTTTATGACAGACGGAAGACTATATATTTTACATGCCTTTGCACGTATTTGTTACCAACCCAAAGAGCATAATAAAATTGAAAAGAAGATAATGACTACATATGTGCTGTGACGGAGCTTAATTTTTTCAGTCTCCAAAACATATTGCATCGCAAAATTCATGTCTATAAATAAATAGCCACAACATATGGCAAATAGAGTAAACAAATCCATGGAGATGAAAAATAAATTTTGATAAAAAAAACTACAGTGTGAACCAATGCGTAGATATCAAGTCCAGTTTATCATCTCTTAACTTCGTACTTGAGGCACTTGAGAATTTCTCGTACATCATATGGGATATTGTCTTCAGCTTCATTCGCATCATACTCGAGCAAGTGTATCAAAATATTCTTTCTCAACTCATAACCATCCTACATGAGCAATGCATGATGTTAGGATGAAATTTTGCTTCAAACTTTTTATGAACGTGTGACACAGAATACTCGCCGTGCAAATTGGACGAACAAATTTGTTACCATGCCAGAGCATATAATTGAAAACAAAATAACCAGATTCATTCCTGTAGATGAATACACTATCATTATCTTCAGAGGTTATGACAATAAATCTAAAACATGCATAGTGATTTTCAGAGTAACTGACCGGTCTAGGCTCATCGAAACATCAAGTGGTGATTTACGTGGCCAGGCAAGTGTATCAGACTTCCAACCCGGTTGTGCTAATTCGAGTGCATCATTCAGGTAGAATGGAACCTCTGGGATACATACATTAACTTTACCTTTTTTGCAACAGAAGGCTGGACCTTCATACTGGAACCTCATTGCTCCACAATGGACACAGTCTTTTACTGGCTTGAAAACATGATGCTTAGTTGGTAGATTCTTGTAGACATAGTCATAAGGATCATCAGCCGCAAAAGCATGATGTGAAACATTAGGTGTCATTCTGTATGATTCAAACTCATCACCTACAATAATATTGGAGTCAAAAATACATCAGTCTGCGAGATATAAGGGTATATGCATTCATGGTATAGGTCACCTTGTCCAGTAAATATCCTGCATTCATCATCATCATCATACACCGGTTGCCCATCCTGTGTGTCGTGCAAGAATTCTAGGAAAGCAATAACATTAAATCAGCTTCCTGCTTGGATGTGAGCATCATCATTTCTCCTATTGAAAAATTTAGTACTGTAACGCGAGGATATTTGTCATTGATAAGTAGTTTTTAAACACTGGAATCTCTAACAAATACTTGTATTTAGGAATGGAGGGAGTATATACCACAATTACAACACACGGGAAACTACACAGTGCCGTATAAAGGAATTAAGTAATGGGACAGGAATAATGAAAGGAAATATACCGTCCACTTCGGCGGGGGGCTCCATAGGCTCTAATATTCCAGCATCATAGGACTCTTCACCATTGCCGTGGCAACCTGGTTGCACACCACCGACACGGTAGAAACAAAGTTGAATATCACATGGCAGGTGCAGTCAATTACCACGCAAACATAGTTACTTTTGACAAAAAATGAAGATCAATGGTCCTTTAGTGGGACTAACTAAATTACATGTAAGATCAATGGCATGTGTAATTGGTGAGGGGACTGCAGATCCACCTGTTGGCTCAGCAATGTAGGACTGTTCAGATGATGCATGGCGTTTTCCCATCTTATGCACACGTTTCCTCTGCAAGACAACTTCTCTTTCTTCCGGCGTCATTTGATCATATTGTTCTCTCATGCGACGCCGTTTCTTCTCAGAAGATGCCTCTGAATGGGATACATGTGGTCAGAAAACTGTGTATATAAAATCAAAATGGGTCAATCAGTACTGAATCCTCAACATACCTTTCATTTGAACAGAGCTAAGTGAGTTAGGCAGAAAGCTTTCTTGTATGTGCGCCCCTTGAGCTTGTGACATGTCAAATACCCCATGAACATCCATCTTTTGTCGTTCGTAAGTGGGATTTGTGTGCAGCCAATCAATATGACCATCTGTCTGCATAGATGACGCACTGCATGGTGAGTTTAGCATATGGCTGACAACAGATTGTGCTGTTTGAAGATAAGCAATACCTACAGAAAGACAGTGCATCATATGGCTTTTATATGGTTGAAGATGAGCAATACGTACAGAAATATGGTGCTAGAAAATATTTGTTGAAATTACCAGGTGATACTTGGACGCTAGTGGTAGCAGCTTTCTTTTCTAGTCGAGCGATCCGGAGCTTCTTGCAGTGCTCTGCTCTCTCCTCATCGGATAGACGTGAATACCACGTTTCAGAGCTTCGTTTTTTGCGCCCAAGAGCGACATCTTCAGATGGATGGTCGGTATAAGCTGAGGTTGCAGCTGCATCTATGATACGTATGATAGGTTAGTCTCTCAATATAGTAGTGTAGCATAGAATATTGAAATAGTAGTCAGAATATTAAAATTGCAGCATGTAAAGATAAAGAACAAACCGGTTGTGTTTGAGTTGGCTATGTCGCTCAAAGGGGTTCGTGGCACATCCGGTGATGAAGAAGCATGTGTTTGGGAGACCTCCTTAGGGTTAATACTAATGACAGATGCAGCCTTCTTGTGTGCTCGGGCCATACGCCACTTCTAGTTGTACTCCGCTCTCTTCTCATCG